GGATGAAAAATATTTTAATTAGTAGCTGATTATTATGAAAATGATGTTCAATATTTACATTTCAGAGAATAGCAACAGTCAGAATAGAAAATATTGATAATGATAAAACATTATAAAATGGCAATTATACTACAATCGATGGAATTGTTTATTCTCAACCGATGAGTTCAGACGATAATATTTTTTTAGTAATTTTGTTGCATTTGTTAATCAACATTTAATATCATTTTTATTCATAACTACTCTAGTTGACGCATGGCCAACGACTGCTGACAATTCCATCTGCAGCCTGCCCTGCCTATTTCGACCATGCGACTCCTATGATCGCAGTTAGAACTGAGCATTCTACTGCGACACCAAATCGCACTGATGTGGTCTTCTATGGGTCTGTATTCTTTGGTCGCACGATCGGTTTATCTCTTTTAGCCAGATAGTAATTCGCAGTCCTTTCTCTGTGTCTATGGGTATGTTCACAGATTATTTTCTATCCATTTTCTATCAAAGACATACCCTTTGTATATCTATTATCTATGCACACCAACACACTGTCACATTCTATTTCGAAGGTTATGTATAATATTATAATTATTGTATAAAAAATACGTCTTCTCTACATTTTAATGTTTTTATTTAAATAGTAAATATTTGTAGTACCATACATTTTTAATTATCTGCAATTAATCAAATAAACAAAATCCAATTATGGACTTGGAAGATGATCTTTGTGAGGATTTTCAGGTAACTTTGCAGTTAACTGAAGAAGATAGAAACATTCAAAAGGGAAATGAACACCAAAAAGCAAATATATTTTTAATAGACTCAAATGAAGAAAAGGTTCAAGGAAATGACACACCTGCAATCACTTCATTTAGTAAAGAGTGTGAGTTTATCTGTTTGCTTTAGCTTACCAAATAAATGTTTTGATAAGATAATAACTACACTTGACGTTTTAATTATATTAATTGTAATATATCAAATATTTTAACTTTTAAGAAATGTCTATTCATACAGGTCTTATAATATGCCCTTCTGTGTTTCAATTAAGTATATTATTTTTTTACTTTTAATGATAATAGTTCTCCAATTATCATTTTAGTAAAAGAAACTGTATGGGGCTCTGGAACAACAAGAGAGGATAAACAAAATAATGGTGTAATCAAACCAATTTCCCCTATTTCGTCGGGAACTGCAATGGATTTTTTTACATTTCGTGAAAGTGTAATTGAGCATGCAGTTAATGAATGTATGGAACAATTTTTAGATGTTAAAAGTGATGGGACTTTAGTTTCTGCATATTTAATCACAGAGTAATTATTTTCACCTTTTAATAGGCATCATTTGTTACTGCTTTATTTTTTAGAGTAAGCTTATGGAATACTGATAAGGAACGTTTGGTATTGCTTACTACAAAAGCAGTTACTATTGTAAAATATGATTTCATTGCTTTAAAAAGGCTAGATTGCAGAAAAGTTCCTCTAAATAGCATTGATACTGTAGAAATTGGAGAACTTACTTATCCCCCCACTTCGTTAGTTCCGTAAGTATTTTTAAAGTTAATCATTTAATTCATTATTTACAAAGTTATTCTTCTATGCTGTTGATTATCAGTAGACTTATGAAGTAATTAACATCTTTTCTGCAGGCAGTTGCAAGGTTTAGTTGATGGATTTTCCAATGTAATTAATAGAGTATTCTTTGAACATTGCTCTAAGCCAAAAGACACAAAATTATTCGACATCTTTCAATATAGGTATTAATTGCCAGTTGGTGTAGTTGTGTTTTCTTTTTGCTTAAAAAAAAATATGAGGTATTCATACTTCAAAAGCCCGTTTTTTTGTTATTGCATTTAAATTATTAAAACACTATTTACTGTTGCATGATTATAAATGTATTTATCTTGTCTTGTAGAAAACAATACAGATACATATATTGTTTGCCAAATTATGTATTTCCTATTTGTGTTATGATGTAAATTGTTTATTTTTGTTGTTTGTGTTTTTAATAGAAAGAGGAATGCAAAAGGTATACGGCTTTTATGGAACAAGGGTAGACCTGTTAATTTTATTGAAAAATGGAATCCCTTAAATAGTCACGTTCCTTTTGTAACTTTAACATCTCACCCTTTACTAAATTATAAAGGTATAAGTAATGAAAATTAAATTATTTTTGATTTTTTTTAAATAAAGTAATTTTTTGTAGAATGTACTGATGAAAATCGAAGAAGAATGTATGATGTGGATAACTTTATAGAAGAAATTTGCACTGCCATTAAAAACCAACAACGAGAAAATGAGGGCCTAGCATGCATAATAACTCATAAGGATATAATGCTTGATAATTACGTTGGTCTTGGATCTCTTATTCACAATCGAAACGCTTTAGGGTTTTTCAAAGTTAGAGGAAAGTTAAGCTTTTAAAAAGTAATATCAACGAAATTATTGTCTGAACCAACCTGGAAAAGAATCTTTTAGAAAAGGTGTTAAATAATTTAACTCGAAGACCTTCCTATTTATTCAACTGATAAATAATAATATCATTCCTCCTTCTAATCTGTGTATTATGTATAGATAAATATAACTATTGCTTATTCCTTGCATTGAAAGTTTATACGATGCAATATACTGATTACATTTATGTTGTTAGTTGGTAAGTTTGATTTTATTTTTTGCCAGAATATTCAGGCAAATAGCTTCATGTGCTAAATTTTTGGTCTAATACTTTATCTACTGTGATAATTTATGCTGTAAAAAGTTCAAAATTTCTAGTCGAATATATTATCTATTTAATTTGACGGTAAAGTATTATTGTATACACATGACAAAGTATTATATAGTATTGGTATACTCAATAAAATCCCAAACATTATTATTATTTTTAATTACTCGAAGTAGACCCCTAATTTGCTAAAAATAACTTTTATTAGGAAAAATAAAGCAATATTTAACATAACATCTAAATGATTAAAAAAAAGTTAACATGGAATGTAAACGAAATACGAAATTAAATTACTCATTGTTGATATTTTTTATCAATTTCGTCAAAATCAACACAAAAGGGTCTATTTGAAAATTCTTCAAATTTGGGAAGTCCCTCAATTGTAAGCTTGTCTCTGTAAACATTGGCTATCTCATTAATTTTAGAATCATTTTGAATTTTCTCCTGTGCTGTTAATTGAAAATTTAAATCTGTTATATCCTTTTCTTCTGTTATATTTTGCATTACGTATTTATGATTACTTTTTTTTGAATATTCTTCCACTGCTGTTTGTAATATCCAATTTGCAAATTCATGTTTAAACTTTTGTACTCTCTCAATAACATTCTTTAAAGCTTTTAACTCTTCGCCAGTATTATTACATACAGAATTTTTGTTAATCATAAATTCAAATTTATCATAATCTGCAGCTGATACATTCTCATTAATTAAATAATCTGTTAAATTAGGTGCAGTTTGATTATATTTTAGATTTTCTGTATTTTTATTACCTTCTAATGTATTAAATTCTTTTGTATCGTCGAACTGCTGTGCTTGAGAATAAAGTTTTATTTGAGATGGCACTACACAAACTTGTTGCAAAATGTTAATATTATTTAATTTGACTTTATTTCGAATATTCTTTAATTTATATTTTCTGGAATATTTTGTATATCTGTACTTTTGTGTTTTGTAGTTCATTTTCTTCTTTAATATTGGAGAAGTAATACGTTTAGATTTTAAGTGTCCAGTGTTATAATCAAGTTTTAATGCTACATCAACATTGCTTTCATCTGAAAATGGCAAAGAAAGCATTGTAACTTTGGAGTAATTGTGAGTTTTCGGTTCCTCATTGGAGCAAAATTTTGATTTGTTATCAAATTTATTGCAAACTGGTAAAGAGCATAAATTTACGGAAGGAGTTTCAAATAAATTATTTGTAAGCATTTCTATCGGAAAAGATTGGTTGGAATTACAAATATGTGTTTTAAAATAATTATTTTTTGTGTCGTCGAAGGCATCATTTGAATTACATATTGTATTTGTTAAAGTATCATCAGTTTTTAACTCTTGAGAAATAAACAATGCTTCAGTAAATGTCGAAGGAATCGTATTTTGATATATTCTGTCACAATTTGAAAGCAAGTTTTTATTTGCTAATATAAATTTTTCTTGAAATACCTTTGTATTGTTTTCTATAAGAGATGAAGGGATTATATCTTCAGAATCCATATTTTTTGGCAAAAAATTAAATATCTCTTCTTTTGCTTGGCATATGGGGCTATTATTTGATATATTCGATTTTTCAGATTGTATATCATCTATTATGTTAGTTGAGTCAAATTGTGTACATAATGAAGTTTTTGCGGTTGGCGTCTTGAAATTCACATTAGAAAGCATATCTTCATCAAATGAAAGCGAAATTGTTGAAGATTTTTGAAGTATTTCTTCATAATACTTATTGGTAGGATCCTGATTTTTTAACATATCTATTTCCTCCAACTTCTTTAAATCTTTTTGTATAGTATTAACAATAGAAGAAGAATGAGTACAATTTGGAAATTGATTTATATTAACTTCAGAACCATTTACAAAATCAAAAGAAAAAGAACTTTCCAATTCTTCACCATTACTTTTATTGCTTGTAATCGTATTTTCGCTATCATTCACTGTAACGTCTTGGTAAGATTTTGAACAAGAATTTTGAAAAATATTAATTGCCTGCGAGTTACTTATATTTAAGGAGCTGAAACGTTGCTCAATTTCGGTTGTTTCTTCAAATAAACTTCTTAATTGTCTTAACACCTTTCCTTTCATCGCTTGACTTTCCCTATTAGAAGTATTAATTTTATTGATATCGTTTACTAAACTCTGGATTTCATTTATTGACATTATTCGTATTTTACGGAGATGATTACGAATTTTAAAAACACAGTCTTCTAATATCTTTTTATATTTTTTGTTCTCATTTGTTTTACTTTTTATGGGCAGTGTTTTTATTTGCGTCTGGGAATTAAAAGAAGATTGCGAATACTTCAAGGAAGTTCGTTTTCTTAAAGAACGGTTATTTTTCTCGAGTTCTTCACAAAACGTTGAATCAGAACCGACCGAATTTTGAGATGCATTTGTTGAACGCGTTTCTGTATAAAAAGTTATCATTTTAACTAATAGTTAGATACTATTAGAAGATAGTGAAGAAAAAGGTCACTTACCCCAACTCATTTTAGAAGAAATGCTTTATTTTACTTTAATTTGATAACCAACTGTAGCGGTTATTGTACGCTATAAGCGTGTACTAAAATCTAACATGTCTACCCTTTGTTGGAAATGTTGTTACCAACTTACATGTTTTTCAGCTGTTTTATCAGTTTATCATTTATAATTTTGTTTTAGTGGTAGTTATTTATCGTAGCATGTAATAGAACATAGAAATGTTTTCATTTATTAAGGAAAAACAGGTAGAATGATTCCTTATTAAAAATGTTTCATCGAGGATATTCACCCACGAAAATTCCAGTCTTTTCATTTGGTAATGATACTAGATATTAGATGTATATATAACATATAGTATATGATAAGTTAGTTCGTTTTATATAAAAATTAAAATTAAGTATACTAATGAATAATTTAGCAAAAGCAGTTGGATTCCTACATTACAGTTTAGTTATCTCATCCTGAATAATGCAAAGTATATTATTATTTAAATTATGTAAATATATACAAATATTAATGTTATATAATTATACGATTACATCCCGCGCCATAAGAATACATACAGTTTCGTCGTTTCGTGAAACTTATGCTCGAAAAAGTTGGCGCCATTGCAGACGAACATTTCGCGAAAGAATCGTGTTCATATAATCGGAAGTGTGTAAGAGAGAAAAATCAAAATAAACGAAAAAATTCATTGTCGCACTGTCCTCATGGTTAAAGACACAAGGATGACTCGAGTAAAATCATTGCGTTCCTTAGCTAAGTAATAGTTCTTTTATTGTAAAATAAAGTGACCACTGACGACACTAACTTACAGTTATTAGAATTGAAATAATTATTACATGTCAAGCAAAGAATTTACATTCAGGTACACACTTCAAATTTTATTTTATTTTACGGGTCCAAGAAACTCAACAGAAGCTATTTGTCGCTACTTTCTTTATGCAAACAAAAGCTTTTATTGTATCGTTTTAATACATCGTACATGAAATAAAAAGTTAAGGAAACAAAACACATAAATATTGCTATAATGTATGTTAACAATTAAAATAGAGCATGTTTATAATTTAGTAATACTTAACAATTGCTCTCAGTAAATACACCGAGGTTTGTACAACTGCAAACTTTAGTTTATAAGTAATTTATTTTATGTTGTTTAGCAGGAAGGAAAGATAAATATGTAATAATATAAAATATTTAAGTATCTAAAATTCCAAACATTCGATGTGTATTTACTCAACAATTGTAAAAGAGCATACCTGTATATTTAAGAATAAAATAAAATTCACGTTTTACTTGCTAAAAATAAAAAGACTGCAGGAGAAACCAGGGTACAATTGCCTGCTTTATTTATGTCAAGGAAAATTTGGGACGTGTAAAAAAACACGAATTGATTAATATGGACGATAAAACATTATTTAGATCTCATTAGGCCGTTGTAATTGTGTGTACCGTGGAGGTTCGTGCCATACCGCACTAGACGTTCTCTTTAGCTTACGGGAGTCTATTTTGTAGAATATTTTCCGTAAATCAGGTGACTGAGCGTTACATCGGAAAAATGAATTCTTTATTTGATCGCCCGCATAGAACATAGCTCGGCACATTTTATAGATTTCGGCCTCTGAAAAATAAAATAAAACTTCACTGTCTGTACAGTAATATGTTTATTTATTTATTGCATCATTTACTGTTCAGTAAATATTTGCATTGTTATAAATTTGGTCTTTATACTTACTTGTTGCCCAATGTGGAACAACCTTCTTATAGTTACTTCTTGAATCATCTGAGTCGTAACAATCATCAGTAGGCAATAAGGGCGCCTCCTGAACAAGATAAATGGGCTGATCGTCGTTATTATTCTGTTTACTAACATTAATAGGCCTCCATTCCATTTTTTTCTTTTCTTCCTCCAATTTTCGCTTCTGTTCTTCCTCTTCCATTTTTTTCCACATCTCTTCTTCTTTTTTTTTCTCTTTGGCCTTTTGCAAAGCCAACATGCGTTTTCTGTTGGCTTCTTCTCTTAATCTCTGTTGCTTTTCTTCTTTCTCGGCCAAAAGTTGTTTATGTTTTTCTTCTTTTAGACGTTCTGTTTCTTCGAGCATTTTTTGTTTGTCTTTTTCGAGGGCCTCGCGTTGCTGTTGCGCTTTCAATTGCTTTTCTTCTCGTTTGCGCCTCTTTTCCTCGATTTGAGCTTGAAGGATAGCTTCACGTTTACGCAATGCTTCCTCCTCTTTTTCACGCCTTTTTAGTTCACGTTCTTTGTATTCGTTTTGAGAAGTTTTAAGTGCACTTGCAGACTTTGTTGAAATTAATGACTCGTTAAAGGCGTTCTTTTGCAAAATGTTGCTTTGTATCTTGCTTACAGAATTAAATGTTTTAGGCAGAAAGCGATGTGATGCCAATGGAGTTGTTATTTTTGATTTTTCTTTTGACGCTTTATTTTCTTCAACTGCTTGGTTCATTTTTTCAACCTATAATAAAAACAAAATAAATAGAAGTTCCTTTTCTCTTACATACATTAATAGTCTTACCTCCTCCTTTTCAATTGCTTTCTTCTTAGTTCTTGTTATTCGGACGGGTATTTCGGAACCGTTTAATTCCGCTCCTAACTTTTCAAAAGCTTCAACCCTTTTCTTGACTGGACTGTTGCTAAAAGGGCTAAATATTTGTTTGGTTGTTTTAACAGGCTTTTTAGCCTTTATTTGCTGTTTCGGTACAGGGGGTGTATCTTCAACAATGGATTCGTCATCAGTAATTAAATCATCAGGGTTGACGGGATTTTGAAAGACGGTTGCTTTTTGCACAATTACTGTCGCGTCGTTTTTATTCAAAACAACAGTTTCGTTTACTTTATTTAGTACAACCGTGCTATTTCCATTACACAAGTTCATTTTTTCATTCTCAGAAATCACGGCTTTGTTTGACTTTTGAACATTATATGTTTGGTTGTTAACGTTGTAGGTCCGGTCCATTTCACTGGTATTCTCTTTATTATTATTTTCAACAGTTCCTTCTTGAACAGTATCGTGGTATATCGATGATGTTTTCGAGGTATTACTCCTTTCATCGGATTTTACTCTCTTCGGTTTTCTTGGTTTATTTTTTTGTTTTTCGTTAGTCTTCGTGTCGATTTCGGATGAGGGACTTCTTAGACGTTTAAGATTTTCCTCAGATCTCTCCTTGCTTGCTTCGTTCGATTCTGCCGATTTTTTTTGCTTCATTGTCCTCATTTTAGACCTCGTAGATCGTATTTCTTCAGGTTTAAGAAATTCAATTGAACTTTTAGGAGATTTTTGTTTACTTTTTTCTGATTCAACATTGTTTTGTTCCTTTGCCTTAGCCCTAGTTTTTGTACGAGTCACTCTTACTGCCTCATTACTATCAGTCTTACTTTTGCTATCAGTTTCAGAATGATCTGATTCAACTTCTTTTTTAATTTTGGATTGTGGCCCAGATTTAACAGATTGTACATATTCATTATCTGACATGATATCATTTTTAGCACATTTTTTAGTTCTTTGATTTTTAACTTTTACTTTAGATTGTTTTTGATCCTCTTCCTCTGTCAGAGACGTGTCTGACAGTGTAACAACAGAGATGTTATGTTTTTCAATCATAATATCAGAATCACATTCAGTAAACCTGGGTGAACGTTTAACTGAATTACTAATTTTAGAATTACTATTATCATTAACGGCATTTTTCTTAGCCCTTGTTCTTTTGGGTAGTTCAGTTGGTGGTGGCATAGAATTAAGAGACTTCTTTTCTTGTTTGATTACAATATTTTGCTGCTGATCATTTTTAGAAATAAATCCGACAAATTCTTCAGAAAGTTTTTCTAGTTTTACAACAGGTTTTGCATTATTACAATCAATAATTAGTTGTTGATTATTTAAATTCGAATCTTGCAATATTTTTCGTAAAGGACGATTGGATTTTTTGCCTGAGAAAGAACTACCAACTTTTTTTAATTGTCCAGGTTCTATTAAAAAAATATATTAAAAGGGTCTACTAAAATTAAAAAACACAACAAACCTTACCAACATTTTCTGTAATGCTTTTTAAATTTTCATGTTCAAGAGACAGTTGCTTTTCATGGTTTTCAATTCTATTTTTAATATCATTTAATCTCTTAGAGTAAATCTACAAAATAGTAATAAAGTAAGTTATGCTACACAACTTGCGAAATAAATTGTATTTTATTGTAAATATTTTAATAACAATCTGCATTACAACACCGTAAGTACACAGGTAGAGAGTATATTTAAACATTGTATTTATTATTTAATTTACAAAGTTTAGTACTCAGTTCTTACAGTGTCATAATCAATATAGATAACATATACGAATTGGTTTGTTTCTTTATATATGTTAATATTCAAAGTGAATATTATAGTTATATTCGGTAAAGCAAAATACAAATGTAACAAACTATAAAAACTTACATCGTGTATAGAACGAAAAGCTAGGACGCCATCACTAACACGCTGAAGTAAGTTTTTGTTTAGTTCAGTGAATAAATCTTTTGCAGCCATTTTTAAAACACTTATGAATAACTTAGATTTCAGTTTATGTATGCCGTTTTATTTTGTAAATCTTCAGAATAACTCACATTCACATTCACTTTGCTAACTCCTATTAACACAACACGGAAAGAATACCGTCAACAAAACGGTTGACTAGTTGACAGTCAACGATTCGTTTTCGTTTTGTATTCAAATATTTAAATTCGCGCGTGCGCCTTAAATAATATGATCTTGGCTAAAGACACATTAACGTAACACTTTCAAGTACGCCTAATTAAAATACCTTACGTTTCAGAAATGATTTCAGCTATAAACTCTACAATATGATTTCGAATGTTTAAGTATTTGTCAAGAGTACGTAACTATTTCACAGGAAGTTTAGCAAATGATAATATTAAATTTCACTGAGTCGCGGTAATTTTCTTGTGAAACATTTTTTAAATAAGGAAAAAGCCATAAAATGTATTAGAAAATTTTAATGAAAGAAGCACTATGAAACATTTTTTCTTCATTTACGTTGTTCTTAATATTGATTATACTGATTAGCATAAATAAAATGACGAAAATATAGCTATGAAAGCATAAAAAGTTAAATTAGTATAAGGTTTAAGTTATAACAGGTAACCTTCTTTTTTATAAAAAAAAAACATTAAATTAGTTTAAGGAGGTTTAAGTTGTGACATTATTTTTTTTTCAACAGGTAACCTTTTTTTTTCTAAATTAATGGCTATGAAAATTACTCTTATTTGAGACGACGTTGCCGTATGGTTGACATTTAGACACAATTAGATNATTTTACCGATTACAGTGGGCCACGTGATGTTCTAATGGATTAATTTTACAATTTTTCCACGGGGAAATTTCTGAACTCACCTCATCTAATCATACAAACCATTACGCCACTTAAGGCCACCACGCTCAGCAGCCATTGCTGAGAGAACAGGGAGAGAACTTTCCAGTCAATACCTGTTTCTTTTTTGTAAGCCTGTGAAAACCATAGAAAGAGGCAACGTCGCACCAAAGAATACAGACCCATAGAAGGCCACATCAGTGAGATTTGGTGTCGCAGTAGAATGCTCAGTTCTAACTGCGACCGTAGGAGCGCATGGTCGAAATAGACAGGGCAGGGCAGGCTGCAGATGGAATTGTCAGCAGTCGATGGAATTGTTTATTCTCAACCGATGAGTTCAGACGATAATATTTTTTTAGTAATTTTGTTGCATTTGTTAATCAACATTTAATATCATTTTTATTCATAACTACTCTAGTTGACGCATGGCCAACGACTGCTGACAATTCCATCTGCAGCCTGCCCTGCCTATTTCGACCATGCGACTCCTATGATCGCAGTTAGAACTGAGCATTCTACTGCGACACCAAATCGCACTGATGTGGTCTTCTATGGGTCTGTATTCTTTGGTCGCACGATCGGTTTATCTCTTTTAGCCAGATAGTAATTCGCAGTCCTTTCTCTGTGTCTATGGGTATGTTCACAGATTATTTTCTATCCATTTTCTATCAAAGACATACCCTTTGTATATCTATTATCTATGCACACCAACACACTGTCACATTCTATTTCGAAGGTTATGTATAATATTATAATTATTGTATAAAAAATACGTCTTCTCTACATTTTAATGTTTTTATTTAAATAGTAAATATTTGTAGTACCATACATTTTTAATTATCTGCAATTAATCAAATAAACAAAATCCAATTATGGACTTGGAAGATGATCTTTGTGAGGATTTTCAGGTAACTTTGCAGTTAACTGAAGAAGATAGAAACATTCAAAAGGGAAATGAACACCAAAAAGCAAATATATTTTTAATAGACTCAAATGAAGAAAAGGTTCAAGGAAATGACACACCTGCAATCACTTCATTTAGTAAAGAGTGTGAGTTTATCTGTTTGCTTTAGCTTACCAAATAAATGTTTTGATAAGATAATAA